CTGTACAATTAAATGTGCGGCAGAAGAGACTTCCTAAGCTGTTGTCTTTATGCCTTTTACTGAAAAAGAAGCAAACCAGAGCGCTGCAGCCCAGCCTCTCCCATTCAGCCTACCATCCATGTTTATGCTCAGCCAGCACAGAGCAGAGCCCAGCACTGGGAGCAGCTTATCCAAGCTGCAGGTCATTTTCCTTGCCCAGAACCTTGGCTTTGACTCCAGCAAAATGCAGGGACTGGTGACTCCAGGCTGCCACCAGCTGCTGCAGTACCTGAGCTTTGCTGCCGCTCCGCTCGCTTTGCAGCCGTGACATTTAATAGCTTTTTAATTGCACATGAGGGAATCACAGTTAAGAGACAAAGCGAAGTATCAAATACCTGGAGCTGGCACGTAGGCGGCTCGGCTGCTCCGTGCCATGGCAGAGGCTGCAGCACTCAGTGCAAGCTCCCCATCGCTCTCTATTGCACCGAATGGGGCTAACACAGATGGCTGCTCCCCGGTGTGGCCTTTTGGAGGTGGATTTTGGCACCTCCGGGGCCGGTGGTTGGCTCTCCATGCAGCCTTCAGGTGTTGCACTGAGGTCTGTGTCCACATCACTGTACTGTGGCTGCTTCTTTGCATGCCCCCAGCACAGATGTTGCTTCCCCACTTCCAGAACCTCAGCAATAGGTAACGAGCAGAGCTCCCCAGCATCAGTGTGACACTGGGGGCGTGATGTCCCCGGTGTGCTTGCTGCAAGCTTTCTTCCTGGCATGCTAAAAGTACAGCTCTGAGGCTCACAAGCATATATTTATCCCGAAATGTGCCACTCTAAGGAGCAAGCTGCACTCCTGCATCGCTGTGCACAGCGAGCCCTGAGCACACCGTGCGAAGGCAGGGAGAGACCCCAGCAGTTCCCACAGTGGGAACACAGAGCTGCGGGTGCTGAGCATGCAGGTGGGAACGCGGAGGTGTCATTACCACCATTCCCATGAGTAACACCCCCACAGAGATCTTCATGGTGCAGCGAGGATCAAAGCATCCCAACTGTGAGCAGAGCTGCTGCCGGGCTACCGAGCGCTCAGTGGCTTGGCTGGGATTTTCCCATGCATAGTTTCCCACCCGGAGTTCTACTCTGTGCCTCCGCTTGGCTTTTCCCAGGCTCAGCATCCTGGTGTGTGACAGCGTGGGCGCTCAGTGCCCGTCACAACACCCCGCAGTGGGGCACAGGCAACGTGCAGGGCTGGAGGCGGCGTGCGTATCCCGCTGGAGGGATGAGGGCTGTTTATGCAGTACAGCCCTGAAAGCTACAGTCAGAGTAGAGCTGTAAACAGCTCGGAAGGATTTACTGAGTCGGCAATCCGGCAGCACACAGCTCAGCTCAGCCCCGATGCTGCCTGAGCGCTTGGGAAGCTCACAGGGCTGCAGGGACGGCTCTGCACGGGGGGCTGCCGCCCCGCCCCCCGGGGGGGGGGTCTGGGGGGGGCCCCCCCCCCCCTGCCCCCCCCCCCCCCCCCCGGGCAGTCCCTGAGTACCCCCTGGGCTGACCCCTGCCATGGCATCGCAGTGGGGATGCAGCAGAGCAGCCCGCGCCGAGTAGCCCTGGGGGATCCCAATCTGCTGGAGATGGAGGTAGGTGCCGTGGTGATCGGGCTTGGGTTTGGTTTGGGATTGGGTTTGGGGAGGGTGAGCAAAGAGATCTCATTTCTGGTGCTGACAGCGGGATCCAGACGTGAATACTCAGTGCGTGGAGACCAAGGGGTGATCTGTGCCGGAGCGGCAGGGATGGGGTGGGAAGCTCCACTGGGAGCTGAAACCCTTAACATGCTTCTGATTATCTGTAAGAAAAAATTACTGTCAGGCTGGGAAATGAACAAAGGCAGCTGCTGCTGTCCCCTCTGTATGGGGTTGGTGGCAGCCAGCAGGCAGGGCGCAGAGGGCATGGGGCAAAGCAAAGAGGGCACGGGGCTCCTGCTTCAGTCCCTGCTGCAGGCTTGGAAGGAAAGTGGGAGGTGTGAGTCAGGGCTTCTTCTTCTGTTTTCAGTGCCTGGGGTGGGAATAGTGGCTCTGATCTGCACGGCATGGGGCTGGGAAACTACATGGGGATGGGAAGGGGCTGGGGACATCCCCTGTAATGCCAGGCTAATGGCAGTGAGCAGCTCACAGGAAAGATCTGCACTGAGTTCTGCTTTGCTCTGAGCCCCCGGGGGGAGAGGGGCCATGGGGACAGCTACACTTCATTAATGACTACCCAAAAATCGACCTCTCCACAGCCACGTGGCATTAGCTCATCTCCCATGCTTCCTAATAGGTTGCAGCATATGGAAACCAAAATAGTTTGGAGCATGAGTAAGTGTCCCGAGAGCTATCCTCTGAACTTTGTGATCGTTGTGCAATTTCTTAAAATGGGTTTGAATCCCTCGCAGCCCCACTGGGTGACCCAAAACCCTTTGCTGGGAACACAACTGTGGCCCTGGGCTCCTCACCTTCTACCTGGGCTTTCCTCCATCAAACCTGCAGCAGCAAACAAACCAGCATTGCATAACTGTGCCCGGCCATGGCCCTCCAAGCACTGTTTGCTCAGCTTATTAACTTGAGCCTTTTGCATATCTCAGCTCTCCCGGGCTGAACTCTGGTGATAAGAATAATTTTCCTCCTCTCATCCTGCATTCCTCCCGCATCCCACATCAGCTCCCCCCTCCAGCCTGCCTGGAAAACAAGCATGGGAGATGGACGGTTTCATTTCAGCGTGCTTACCAGAAGGTTTTACTGCATGTAGGGAAAGTGTGGCTGCTGCTAATCCCCCTGCTAAATCTGCTGCACAGTCATTTAGGCTGGCTGGGATTTAGCAGGCACTGCCTGTTAATGCTGCAGAGATCTGTATTGTCTTTTTGTTGTGGTTGTTGCCTCTTTCAGAGCAATAACCTGATGTGGCTCTCACATGGTTCTGCCCTGTGTCTGAGATAGGGCAGAGCTTTCTTGTGGTTTTGGGGGATTTTGCCCCGACCACAGCAGCACAGTGGGCAGCGTCAGCGCTGTGCCACCATCCCTGTGCTCCCAAAGAGGCTCCCCCCAATAAATCCCAGAGATGGGATTTGCAGGAGCTCAGCATTGCACGAGGTCAGACCCCACTGAGGCCGTTTTCAGGACTGGGATCAGCGATTCCCAAACCTCCTCCTGTTTCTCCAAAGCTCCTGGGGTGCAGCTGGGGCTCCCCACCTCCCTCCACTCAAAGCCTGCAAGCGTTTCACAGGGGTGCATGCATGGAAACAACACAAATTCAGCTCCAGGATAAAGGGAACTGGAGGCTCTGCTGTGATAACACCGCATTTCATAGAAGTTTGAGCCACTTCTCCCTTTCACATTTCCTGTTCCGGCTGCTCTGGGGCTGCTTTTCTTTTTCCACTGCTGTTTTTTTGTCCTTTGCTGTCTATAAATGGGACATCTGGGGTAACAGCCTGCTTCCTGCTGCCTCCCACTTCTTCCTGGCCATAAGAACCAAAAGCAAAACCTTCCCCTGGACTGAAGGGGAGCATCAAGCCCAGGGTTCTTTTTGGAAAATGCTGATCTAAAAGGGATGGAGCTACGTGCAGCTCTGCCCTGGAAGCAGGCAGGGGCTGTTTGTTTTTCCCTTTGCTTGCATCCTTGAGTACCTTTCCCCTGTAACAGAGAGATAAGAAAAGCCCAGCCTAGGGGCTGCACAGAGCTTGTAGTTGTCTGTGTTAACTACAGAAAGCACTGCAAGAAGACCCTTATAATGAGAACTGGTACCCCTGGGTGGTCTCCAGCAAGCACGAGCCATGCCTTATATAAAGCCCTACAAATCCCATGCTGGGCACTAGGACAGGCATAGCCCCTGGCTCTGTGTCCACAGCAAGGGAGGGACATGAAAACAAGAGGAGAGTATTTCCCTGCTCCTCGAGCCCAGTTCAGCACTTGACACAGACAGGAACCTGGATAAGCAGCACCTTGAGAACATTCCTCCCTCCTGCACAAGGCATTTCCCAGTGATAAAACACTCCTAAGTAATGATCTCGCGGTGTTATCCCTATTAAAGGGTCACTTGGGGAAAATGTGATGGAAATGAGAAATTATTCAGGTCTGCCAACAGTATTTAACTTTCAAGCAGCTCTTAATTAGAAGCCAGGAGCCATTTATACAACCGTTGAGATTTGCATAGGAATCTGCATGTAGAAGCTGGGAAGAATGATGATTTTTGAGTGGTGAAGCAGCATACTGGGGGCTGGGGGTTGCTGGCCTGGGGTCCAGGCTCTGTGGGTATTTGAAGCCCAGCCTCAGGAAGGTGGTTCTCTCTCTCCCAACTCCTCAATTTTTCCATCTTTAAATGGAGACCATTGTGTGCCTGCAGGTCCCAGCAGGCGACCACTGGGTTGCACAGTCCCTGCTCTGATGGGAGTTCAGATGAGGGGTTTCCATTTCAGCTCCTCGCTGCTTTCCCCAGCACAGAGCTGGTTCCCAGCACTGCATATTCTTTGCTAAGAGCCCAAACCAACCCTGGACAACCATCAGTTATGTCTGTGCCCTCTGACTGGGATTCCACCTGTACCCAGCCAGCTGGGTTGATGGCTAGACTTGATGACCTTAGTGGTCTTTTCATACCTGAATGATTCCACAGCTGGAAAAATGCTTGAGCGGACAGAAGGAAAAATAATCCAACTTCTGGTTAGCTATTCTCCTGCTCTTTCCTATTCTGGTTAGATTCTCTTGCTCTTTCCTCCCTGCCCATCACTCCGTGGCGCTGAAGCTCCCCCCACTCAGGGCCTCACCCTGCTGAGCTCTGCCCTCCTGTCTCATTGAGGTTGGGGAGACCTCTAGAATCCCCAAGTCCAACCTCAACCCATCCCCACCACATCACTCAATGCAACATCCACTCTTTTCTTGAGCACCTCCAGGGACGGTGACTCCCCCACCTTCCCGACCCGATGCCAATGCATCACCTCTCTTACCGAGAAGAAATGTTTCCTGATATCCAACCTACCTTTCCTAATATCCTCTGCCCACAGCTGGATAAGGGGGACGTGGCCACGCTTGGGCTGCCCTCCACCACCGGCCACGGTGACACCGACGGCCCCATCTGCCTGGACGTCCCCGATGGCACTCCGGACCCCCACAGGACCAAGGCAGCCATCGAGCACCTGCACCAAAAGATCCTCAAGATCACAGAGCAGATCAAGATCGAGCAGGAAGCTCGTGACGACAACGTGGCTGAGTACCTGAAGCTGGCCAACAACGCGGACAAGCAGCAGGCGTCGCGCATCAAGCAGGTCTTTGAGAAGAAGAACCAGAAATCGGCGCAGACCATCGCGCAGCTGCACAAGAAGCTCGAGCACTACCACAAAAAGCTGAAAGAGATCGAGCAAAACGGCCCGTCCCGACAGCCCAAAGATGTCTTCCGGGACATGCACCAAGGTCTCAAGGACGTCGGGGCAAACGTCCGTTCCAGCATCAGTGGATTTGGTGGTGGCGTGGTGGAGGGTGTCAAAGGAGGGCTCTCGGGGCTGTCTCAGGCCACCCACACCGCAGTGGTGTCCAAGCCTCGGGAATTTGCCAGCTTAATCCGCAATAAATTCGGCAGCGCAGACAACATCGCCCACCTGAAGGACACGCTGGATGATGGACACCCCGAGGAGGCCTCGCGGGCGCTCAGCGGTAGTGCCACGTTGGTTTCCAGTCCCAAGTATGGCAGTGATGATGAGTGCTCTAGTGCCACCTCGGGGTCAGCTGGTGGCAGCAATTCTGGGGCCGGTCCCGGTGGGTTGGGAAGCCCCAAATCCAACACGTTGGAAGGTCATCACAGCAACTTTGATACCATCCTGGAGGAGCTGCGGGAGATCAAGGACAGCCAGTCGCACCTGGAGGACTCCATGGAGGACCTCAAGGCGCAGCTGCAGCGGGATTACACCTACATGACGCAGTGTTTGCAAGAGGAACGCTACAGGTATAGGGCTGAGAGTGGGGGGGGGGGGCAATGTGTGTCACCCAGGGTGGCTTTAGGGGACCATGAGGGAACCTTTCTGGGCTTGTGACCGAGCCCTGCACACTGGGGATGGTGGGAGCTGCACCACAGAGGATCAGGAGGTATGTTACCATCATCAGCCCCAGGCAGGAGGGAGGTGGATCCAAGGGTTGTGGTTCTGGGCGGGGGGGAGGGAAGAGGGGGGGTCCCTCCAATGCCGGTGCCCCTCTGCCCCCACACACAGGTATGAGCGCCTGGAGGAGCAGCTGAACGACCTCACTGAGCTGCACCAGAATGAAATGACCAACCTGAAACAGGAGCTGGCGAGCATGGAGGAAAAGGTGGCCTACCAGTCCTATGAGAGGGCACGGGACATCCAGGTAGGGGAGCACCAGGGCTCAGCCTCACATTGCACCCTCCACCAAGGGGGCCAGAAAGGGACCCTGGGGGCAATGGAGGGAGGGACAAAGGGAGCCCTTTTTCCAGCTGTTAGCCCCATCCAGATTGGGTCCTTGCTGTGATTTTGTCTCAGCAAGAAGCTGTGTCCCCAGAATGTTGTCTGTGCCCCAGGAAGTCCCTGCTGTCTTAAAATCCCCAGCTGCTCACAGCCATGCAAGGCTCAGGGTGGGATTGTCTACACTTGGGCTAACATCAGCCCTGCTATCCCAGTTTGGGTAGGTACCCATGGTACAGAGGCCATTCCCAGCACAAACAGGGCACAGATTCACAGAGGGAAACCCATTCTACCACCCATCACCATCATCATAGGTTTGTGCACATAGCAGAGCTACAGCAAGCAACACCTTGCACAGAGCAAATCCCCAAAGCCCTCAACTGGGCTAAGTAACACAACTGCACCCTGCAGGAAGCAGTGGAATCCTGCCTGACGCGGGTGACCAAGCTGGAGCTTCAGCAGCAGCAACAGCAAGTGGTGCAGCTGGAAGGAGTGGAGAACGCCAACGCCCGGGCACTGCTGGGCAAATTCATCAATGTCATCCTGGCTCTGATGGCTGTGCTGCTCGTCTTTGTCTCCACCATCGCCAACTTCATCACGCCGCTTATGAAGACCCGCATGCGCATCCTCAGCACCGCCCTGCTCGTCCTCTTCCTTTTCTTCCTCTGGAAACACTGGGACTCCATCACCTACTTTCTGGAGCACGTCCTGCTCCCCAGCTGATCCACAGCACAGGGGTTTTTTCCATTTCCCAATGGAGGAGTGAGCAGGAAGCCTTTGGTCATTTCTTTGTGCACTCTTTGGTTGCTTTCCTGACCCTCAGTCAGCTGCGGTCGCTCAGAGCGCGGTGAAGTCGGTCCTGTGGGATGCTCAGGGTGGGGGAGTTTTGGATGAAATTGGTAATGTAAGCGGTGTTGGGTTTTTCTAGGGGGTCAGTTTGGATGGGTTTTTTTTTATTTGTTTGTTTTTAAACGTTGCTCTGTTCTGAAAGTCAGTAGGAAGGTCTGCAGAACCTGCCTCGGGGCTGTTGGTAGAGAGGATTGAGCTGGAGCAAACCCAGCTCTGGGAGAAGTTCCTGTACAGAGAGGAGTCACCGGGGCTGGTTTTTCCCTTTCAATCTGAAAGACAGCAAAAAGATGGAGCTGAAGCAAAGCACGTGGCAAAGGAAGAAGCAGGTCCAAGGCAAGCATCACTGCTCCCAGCGAGCTCAAAGCAGGACACACATCTCACCAGCTTCTCCAACCCCATCACCAGGACCAGGGGCAGAGCAGGGCTGTGGTGCCGTCCCCACGCAGACCCAACTCCACAAACAGCATCAGCACAGGCACCAAACGAGACCCCCCCTCTATTGGTTTCCCCTCATTTATTTATTGCCCCTTCCTTTGGCTTCGATTGATCTGATCTCTTCAGGGACACCCAGACTTTCCAGCATCACGCCACTGAGTTTTCCAGCCTCTGCAACGTGTCGTGTGTGCGTGTGTGTGTGCGGTTTTTAAGTTAATTCAAGACTCTTGTTTCCATTTGTGAATCAAAGCTGGTAGCGCCAGGGGAGGTGGGCAGCTGCCTCCCCAGCCCTACACAAGAGCACAGCATGCAGTCTTGGATGTTTCTTAAATTATTTCATACCTATATATTTATGTAATATATCTACACACACACACATACATATATATATGTATAAATATATATTAAGAACTATCCACAGTCAGATCCTCTTCTGGTGCAAATGGGTGCCACTCCACCAACTTCGGAGGCACTGAACCAGTTTGCCTCAGCTGAGAATTTGGCCTTTAGCAGCTGTCCTGCTCTGGCAGCCCCACGTGCAGGGCTGCTTTGGTGCACGGGGTCCCAGGGAGGGGTGCATCGCTTCTGACCTGGGCACAGCTGGGAATATTTTGGCCACCAGGTAGGTACCAGCCTGAATGCATCAGGGTGAAGTGGAGGAGAGGACAGCTGGAGGAGCAAGCAGCAGGTTGGGTTTCAGCTGCTTGCATTGATGTGGAAAGGCAATGGATTGATCAGAGCAGGCAGCTGAGCCAACACAGAGGGAGGAGGCAGGCAGTGGGGCCCTGGGGGGGGAGGAGGGTCCTGGCAGCACCAAGGGCTGGGTGCATGGATGGACCCCATCCTTACACATCCTCCAAGCCTACTGGCTGTTATTTTCCCCCAGACAAGGGCACTGCCTTCAGGCTCAGTCACCATTTACCCCCTCTTTGTGCCTCCCACATACCTTAGCACCCCCCCAGACCTTCCCCTACAAGTTCCCCACCCCACACTGGGGGTCTCCCCTGCTTCACCCCTTCCCCCTCCCTTGCATCTTCCTGGCTGCTGCCCCATCACCACACTGCCAGACACAGGCATCGATACCTCTGCTTGCCCAGCACCGCTGCCCGCCTGCATCCACACATTCATTACCTGTTAACCGTTGTCCCTGCCCAGGGAAGCAGCAGCCCCATACAGAGAGCTGGAGACGCCCGGTACCCCATCCGAGCCCCACACCAGGGATGGCTCCGAGGCTGCGGCCACTGGAGGGCTCCCGGCAGCCGTAAAGAAGAGAAGAGGCGGAGAGAAGATGGGGAGGGGATCTGAAGCAACCCCCCCTATGGGCGCTGGGGCCGGGCGGTGTCCCTCATCCTAATTAGCGCCTTAACCCGTTCCTGCCCGCTGCAGAGCCAGGAGGACGAGGTTTTGGGGTAGGAGCCCCATAAGCTCTGCAGCTAGTGGGGAAAAGGAGCAGCTGCGGTGGATACGGTGCTCAGTGGGGTCCAGGGATGGGCACAGCTTTGAGAGAGGTAGAAAAGCCCCCAAAATGCCGTTCTGCTGTTTAGGGCACGCTGGTTGTGCAGAGCTGCTAGGAACCATCTTTAGAGGCTTGCTGGGGGCAGCAGGGAGCCCTGGAAAGCGCCAGCACCATCCTTTCCACCTCTCAGAGCTGGAGACCACCGCGTGTCCTACTGACATCCCACATAACAAAGCTGTGAGCCCACCTGAACCACCCTATCCCCAACCTGGGGACAGCAGGAGCAGAGAACCCCACTGCCCCTCCAGCATCCTCATGCCCCCAGGTCCGGACTCCCACCAGCATTCCCAGTGAGGGGAGAGGCAGAAATCCCAGCACATGGAGCTGGGCACTGCAGTGACAACGGCTATGGGGACAATTCCAACACACCAAGCACAGCTTGGGGCTCCCTGAGGACTCACATTCTCCAAGCAGGGCTGGAGAGGCTCATAAGAGCCCCCTTTGTGCCAGAGGGAGGAGAGGTGAAGCTTTGACGTCAGCTGGGGAGGAATTCCTTAATGCCATTCAGGCCTCCCTCGGTTGCCTTGCTAATTGCATTTTATGTAATTGCAGCAGCTGGGCTGCCAGTCTGGTACTGGGAGCTGGAAGTGGGCTTGGGGACATGGGGGCAGTGGGAGCAGCTCTTCCTTTGGATATAGCATTGCAACCAGGGCCATCCTGCAGCCCATGCCTTGCTGTCTTCCCCTGCCTCACGTGGGATCGCTCTTCAGCACGGGGAGAAGTAGTTGTCATACATTGGCTTGGTATCCAAGGGGGTAATTGCACTTAATGGAGATGGATAAGGCGGTGATTTATCTCGCTCACATTATGCTGTCAGGTTCCCAGCTGCACGAGTCGTGGACAATAAAATAATGTGTTTGCTGGTGGAGTTCCCATATGTCCCCACTGTGTCATATTGCCTCTCTGCCCCAAGGAGAGGGGGAGCTGCTGAGCACCTGCCTGCATTTTGGGGTGCATTGCCTTGCTCCTTCTCATGGGACGCTGGAGCAGATGCCGCCACTGATCCCAAAAGGGGGTCATGGCCACTGGTCCTGCTGCAAAGCCCAACACAGCCCCTGTCCTCAGCTCCTGTGGCTCAGCAGCTTTCCTCCAGAGGAGTAGGAGGAGGGGGGGGGCTGGAGGATGGCTGGCCCCAGCAATGGGAAAGCCAACGGGACCCCAGACATCCCCTCCCCCTGCCTGCCGGCTTGGCCAAGCTTAGGCTGTAAAAAGAAAGAGCTGGTACCAAGGATAACATGCTTTGCATTCCTGCGCTGTCTCCAGGGGAATTTCGACTGATCTACATGAAAAATACTCGCTACCCCTGAGGTCAAAGTGTCTGGAGGAAAAATTTCCGAGCGGAAAGGCTTGGGGCAGCACAGAGAGGAGCCACAGCCAGCGGCTGCAGGGTGCTGGGATCTCACCTGCTGGCAGCAGTGTGGGTCGGTGACAACGGCATCGTATCTGGTGACAGTGCCATCACTGTGGGCACCACAAGGAGCCTATGAGCCCATCCTGCTGCTCCTTTGCCATTCCTGCCTCCCTCCCCTGCCTGGTGCCCGCTCCATCTCTGCCTCCCCCTGCCTGCAGCCTCCCTTGGCTCTGCTGGGGGCTGTGGGGGCTCATTGCTGAGCCCACATTCCCTCCCCACCACCCAGCATTTCGATTTCAAGCACCTCCAGAGCCTCGCGATGCCTGTCCTGTGCTATGGGGCTGTTAAAGGGGATGAGAGGCAGAGATGGGGGGAAATGAAGCAGCGGAGGGGAGGCAGCCAAAAGCACTCAGCAAAGCCCCATTTCCTCTGAGTCATTGTAGTTAAAGCTGCAGCTTGTAAACCCCAAATCTCCCCGTGAGCTCCTGCAGCTCTGCTGGGAGCAGCAGTTGGGGCCACCCCAAAGCACTGTGTGCTTGATGGGAACTGATTTCCAGGCTGCTGCAATGCATCCTCTGTTGGTTCTGCTCCTCTGTGGGATGAACGCAACCCCAATGGGCTGCAGGTTTCTCTCTCCCAGTGCTGCTGCCCGCATCTGGAGACTGGGGCTCAGCCTGCCCCAAATTCACATCAGCATCCATTGGCCATGACATGGGGTATGTCACAGTGCCAATGGATCTCAGAGCTCACATAACCCAGCAGCCCAACCCAGGGGCAGAGAGCAGAAGAAAAGCAACAGGTTTGCCCCCCATCGCCCCCCCCCCCCCATGAGGATGGGGACAGTGTGGATGGAGCACAGCCCCACTGCACGCAGCTCCTCTTCTGCTCGTGACCCATCTAATAATTTAATTGCACATTTGAAAATAAATACGTGTCCGGGGTTGGGAGAAAGAGAAGGCTGAGGGATGAAAATGAAGAGGAATTTAATTAAGGGCAGCGCTGGGAATGTCTCTACCACAATAAAGATAAGGAGGATCAATTGCTTCTTCCTACGATCAAAGAGAAGGGCTGGAGGGGGGGAAGCGGTGCTGTCAGAGGGTACAAAGTACAGCAGAGGGAGGGGGAGGTGGGAGGGAAAGGCACACGGGGTTGGGGGGGGGAAAGCAAGAGACAGCTTAGATAAGATTAGAAAATAATTGATGGTGCAGATCCCCAGGGGGCTGCTGGGACCTGCAGGTCCAAATGATGTATCTGATTGCTTGTGAACGCAAAGGAGCGCCCTGACGTGGTTTTGCAAGGGCTGAAGTTGTGGCTCCCAAACCGAAGGAATCGATGCCCGTTGAACCCACGCAGCTCTGCAACCCCCTCCCCATCGCATTGCATTGCAGGCAGCCAAGTAACTGCGCGCTGCAGTTCTTCCAGGTGCAAAAAAGGGAAACGCTCAGCACCGAGCTGCCAGGAGGCCCCATTCCTGGTATTTGCATGGGGTTGGGACACCGTTGCCACGTTTGATTTGCATCCCCAGGTGGGAACCTCCTGCAGCGCCGCTCCGTGTGTGTGTGTGTGTGTGTGTGAGCCCCAAAGCCCAGCCCTGCCACCAGAAAAACGGGCTCCTGCCTCGTGCCTCACCCCTGTGCAAGGAGCCCAACCTGTGCCCCAAGCAGGCGGCTCAGCCGGCTGGGGAGGGCGGGCAGGGCTGCAGCTGGCAGGGAGACAGCATGGGCTCTGTGACAGCCCTGCAGCTCTGCAGGAGTGCTGCCAGCTCCCTGCCTGATCTGCACAGGGCTTGGAGGGGTTTTGCTGCTGTGCTCCATAGAGTCACTCTGTGGGCAATGCCAACCTC